CAGCTCTTCTTTTTCCTGTAATGAATTAACAGTGGAACCCAGCACTTCTTCCTGTGACAGAGAAAAATTGGGTTGCAATTCTTCTTCCTGTAATGGGTTAACAGTGGGGCTCATCTCTTCTCCCTGTAATGAATTAATAGTAGATATCAGCTCTTCTTCTTCTTCCTGTAACGGATTGATAGTGGGGTTCAACTCTCCTTCCGGTAACGGATTAAAAGTGGTCATCAAATCTGATATTTCTATCGGAATAATAACGGGATTAAGTGCTTCTCCCTGTGACATTTTAACCACGAGTTCACGGTTATCTCTCTGTGAGGCTTTCATAATAATCTTTAGTGCTATTTTCTGTAATGGAGTAAGAGTGTAGTTAAGCGCTCCTTCCTTCGTAGCTTCTTTTAGGTACAGTTTAATAATGAGGTTCAGAGCTACTTTTTGTGATGGATCGATAGTGGGTTCCAACGTTTTTTGTTGGACATTGACCGTAGAAGATTTCTCAACATCAAAATTTGTTCGTTTAGCTCTCCAAATCGGTGAAATTTGTTTGACGGGACAGCAAAAGTTCTGTAAGTTCCGTGACCTATATGAAATAAGAAAAAAAAAAATTAAAAATCATAAGAGAAATAATATTATAAAACACAAATAATAAAAATCAAATGTTTTTAATATTTCATCTGAAACGTTATTCTATTAAAATATATATATGTGCAGATTCAAGAATAACTTATTTAAAAATGTAATAGTTTCGATTTTAATTATATATCGTGTAGGCATTATTTATAGGTGTACGAGTATATCATATTAAAAATCGTTAAGAATTAATAAAAAAAAATTGTGACATTTCACCATAACAATATTTATTGGGTTTATTACCAACATTTGACTTATATAAAGTCATCGAAATATCCGAAATATGAATAGTATTCACTGTACATTATTTAAAGTATATTGACAACAAATGGATTTATTCAGACGATACGATTTGCGCCAAGTCAACATAATAAATAAATCCACTTGGCCAAATTTTATGTATAACATTTCTCCGGATTTTAAACAGTCCTGATTAATTTTACTCACTTTTGCCGTATCAAACCACATCTTTGCATTCCCATCCATGACGATCTCAATTTAGTGTCACAGTACTCAAAACTAGGAACGCACTCCATATCTTGATCACAAACTTGGAACCCCTTAAATTATCAAAAAATTCATTAAATGAAATAACATTTGTGCTACGTAACTGTTGAGTTTTATTACCTTTCTTACAACACTTTTGGTTCTAATGTCTGAGTGTTGTTCTGAAAAAACATAAATTTATGTATAAAACAATTAAGTTAATGACATGGAGTACATAAATAAAATAAAATATATCGACTTCCTGTAGGAATAATTAGAATATTGAATTAATACGTATAATGTAACAATCATGGTGGAATGTGTGTGTACGAGTATGGTATTTTGAGTTAAAATAATAATAATAATGATCACATTGTAATATAATTTATACGAATTTACGATAAACGCAATTTGAAATATACGTCTTGGGATCTGAATAATTGTGCCTCCAACTTTTTACAATCGCCTCCAAATAAATTGTTAACAATTTATAAAATATAAATGAATCAATTAATAATTAGTTAATCATAGGTGAATCATTTTTAAAAATTAATTATAACTCAACTCAATAATCTTAATAACATAGATATTGGGTTTCAATAATGCAAATTATACTTAACGATCACAAATATATTTCAAATGGATTACAGCAGAAAAAGTGAGTACAATAATATGTCAAAGGCCTAAAAATTATATTATTGAAGTTTCGATTTGGTGTGGGGCTATGGAGTTTTTTTTTAAAAAAAATAGTAATAATCGCGAAATGGTGAGAGTAAACATTTTGCAAATGACAGTTTAAATTCATACAATATGATAAATTAAAAATGGCATAGGAAACATAATGATACAATTCTGAACCCTGAATAGGCCTTAAATCATACCACCTCACTTCTACTCACTGTTTTCCAGAATAACGTGAAATCCATAGTAAAATGTTGATGATGGTCTTAAAATTTCCTTTCAATTACATAATAGGTAGTAGACGTAATAGGTGTAGACGTTTTTAAAAAAATTCAAAATAGCTGGATTACGTGTGGTTTCCCAACAAATTTAAATAGAAATTAGGTATGTTATTTCGAAGTAAGTTACTGTGTAGTGCAATAGTGATGGTGACCGATGGCGATAAAAATCGAACAAAAATACCATATTAATAATACGACGGCGTTGAAATGTTTGTAATATCAAATAGAGGATAAATGTTATCAATTATTGTCCTTCTCTCTCCATCAAATGTTCCTCATAGTCACTAGAGCTCTGTATGGTCCGTTATTTTAAAGACCGGATCGTGCTGATACATTTTAACTAAGACAGAGATCAGACCGGACCTATGAAATAAAATATGAAACCAGACTGGACTGGACCGTATCATTTAGAATGTACTAGAAAAAACCAAGACCGGACCGGCATTCAAAAATAAGACCGAATGACGTAAAATGTTCAAAATAAATTATAAAACCATTTAATTATAAAATTGTCCACAATGTATATTGTATTCATTTGGAAATAATATAGATAGCATATAAGACAATCCCCAATTATTAACTCTAATTCTATTTCTGGATCTATAGTATATAAGTAAATATTATATCACCAATAAAACCATATAGAAATCCGACAAGCTACTTTGGTGTCCCAAAATATAATCCGAGTTAAAATAACGTATTATTATGTTGTGTATTATTCTACTATGTAATTTATATAAGTAAAATCATATTAAATTGTTGTTCAAAATTAAGACAATTATTATTTTATTGAACTGAAGGCGAATTGACCAGACTAGACTGATTTCTTTTTTTTTTTTAGGCAAAGGGACCGGACCGGATCGGACCGGTTTAGACCACATGGAGCAGGGCTCTAATAGTCACTGACTTTTCCCACTGAATTGTTCGTAACCGATCGTAAAAAAATGATAAATATAAATATTTTGACTCACCTACATCCTTTGAGTGACTACTAACGACGGCGAATATTATGCACAACGGCATTAAGGAAACAACAACGTGCCTAAATGATATCATTTTTATTCGCACAAAAACAATTGTATACGATGAATTGATGTCTGGTAAGAGTGCTCTTTCAAAATGAAATGTGTAAGGGAGTAGTTCGTTGGACGTCGGTACCAGTAAAATACAGCTCTCCCCCCCCCCCCCATAAGCCGTAAACCTTGGCGGGGACACTTTCACTTTGTTGGGATCCGATAGATGGCCATTCAGTGGTGGTCGGTACAAAGAATTTGAAAAAGATCACCAGGGTTTTTGTCCATTATGCTTTAGTTTGTACTATAAACGTTGTAAGACTGTTTCAATGAAACCGGGAACATCACAAATTGTATTTTATAAGTGCATGTATATATAAACATATACACTGAGTATACTTCGAGACGCAATTCGTTCAAAAAGGTTCGCCTACCTGTTTTGGTAATTCGTATACGTTTGGTATACGTAATTCATGTGCACCGACTCGTTATAGTAAAATGTTACGTTAGTTACATAATATGTATATAATATATGCCTATATTATGGGCAAGTCTGGGCAATAACACGAGTTAAAAAGTTAAAATTTAACGAAATTTTGTCATGAGTTTGTCAGGTTTTTGAGTGCCATAAGCTTGGCTAATAAGGGCAACACATTTTTACTAATTAATTAATAAACAAAAACTTCGTATCGTTGAGATACAAATTTGACTCCGTCCATTTGAATATGTATAAATAAATATCAGTCAAAGTATGTTAAATATGTATTTATTATTATTGATATTATTAATACCAACTTAATAACCGTATATATATATTGGGTAAAATAATAATTTATGGCATAATTTTTTTTTTTTTGGAAAATTATTAATATATCAGAAGAAAATGTATATAGTGTACCTTCACTTAAAATGAGGCGTATGTATATTATTTTAAATATTTTTTCATGTAAATTGCATCGGTTTGTTTTTTAATCTGAAAAAATTTTAATTCAATTATTTTAACCAAAAATGTTATTTTTAATCGCAAAATCCAATAATATGCTTTAGTATTTAATTTTTTTTATTTATACTGAATGCTTATTTGTAAAAATTTATATAAAAATGTGAGAAACAAAATAGAGAATGAAACTGTAAAATATACCGCCGAATTAAAAATAAATAAATAAATAAAAATGATTTAAATATTTACTAACTTTTCCCAAGGAATTTTTCTGGTGTTTTAAGTGAAACGTAATTTTCGTTAACCATATCGACGAAAAAAATAAACAATATTCGCAAAATAAAAAGAACGATCTATCGAGAAATTAGGTGTTAACAAAAAGACCGTTAAGCCAAATGTTATCAATAATTTGATCGCTACGTATATTTTATGTTTTGTTTTATGCGCAGTCACAGGTTAGGACAGGAGTAGGACAGTGGCGACACTGACTAATGGACGGGTGAGTGAATGTGGCGCCATCGATAGTGGCAGTAGTAGACGCGGACACGACTAGTTTTCGTCAGAATTACGTTTACGCCCGGTATACTCGTAAATTGACTAATATAAAGAAAGGTACCATTTACAGTAGGATATCGTTAATGATATGAAATGTGGATCGTCTAGAAAAATTATCGAGTAAAACGAACAATGCCCGGTTAGGTTAGGCGTTGCGAGAGGAGTACCACGGGTGTGTACATGTACCCCCCTGAATTACATAAAAAAAATAATACTATTTAGAAATGTAGGATAGAGGCTATCATTATCATTATTGGATTTTCTAGTAACATTACTTTATAGCCGTGGATAAAAACAAAAATAATATAAGCATTATTTAAATATCAGCATAGATACTATGCACCCTCTGACAGAATTCCTGATGGCGTCTATGATGCCAAGTATAATACCAGCAATAAAATAAGAAAAGGAAGTGGCATGTGTCGGAGTATTGTTTGTAAACCAAAGAGAGAAACGGTTCGCACCCGACAGATGTTCGGTGGTACATTGTTCAAAGTGAACGAATTATGGTCGAGGACAGATGCGTCGATAGCGGTAACGGTCGCGCAGCAGGGTGCACCAGACCCATCATAAGTGGTGTTTTTATTGGTTGTCAAAACACCCTTAGTTGATTTTTATTCGATTGCTACAAGTTAGTTGTGCTACAGTACGCGGAAAGCCTTCGTTGAAACCGATCTTTTTAGAAAAACAAATTTACCTATAAGTCTTGTAATACACATGGAATATTTATATCTTTAATGGGAACGGGTGGGGGAAGTTGTATATTAATAGGTACTAATGATTATTATTCTGATGAACGTTTTCGTGATTATACGTTGATTAATTTAAAACAATTATCAACCAAGAGTTTATAGAATAAGTTGTTTTTGTGTGTCTGTTCAATATAATGTATGGAAGTTTATTATTTGTGATTGTATTAGGTTGGTTCATATGGCGATTTTATTTATAATAATATTATATTATTAAGACTAAGGCTACGACACGACGTTTTCCGTCGTGAATTATTCATCAAATATTCCATCGCGTTTTCTGCCATGAGACACGAGACATTTTTATTAGGCGTATTACGTTGCGATACTCGTTTACAATAATTTTATAAGTCTATGTCCCAAGATTATTGTAAAATATGAGATTATCACTTATCGTTATCATAAATTACAAATATAATACTTAATACTTCAGGCTAAACAATTATTTATTTATTTTTCTATGTATATATAAACTATTAATTTATATAATTATTTTCGAGTATGAACACTTTTATTAACAAGACGTGGAACGCTGACAGAGACACGCTATATATGCAGTGCGTATTACACATCGGGTGATATCATCCGTACCTATCAATAGAAATTAATGTCATGACCACTACCGTTCGTCGCTGTATTTTTTCTTCAATGATGTATTATTTTACTTTTGTAGACAATTGTAGTTGTTATATTATCATAATATTATTAATTAATATTAATTACATGAACATTTAAAAAATCTTGTTTTGTTTTTTTTATTACTAAATAAATAATTTAAGTATTTTTATACCAAATATTTTACAATAAATTTTATTTTATTTGAACAATATCAGTTTAAATACAGGCCCCTTACTTTTAGTTTAAAATTGCAGGGCTCAATTTACAACATTTCGAGGAGTGCCAGGCACTCCCCTTTCCCCTTCTTTACATACGCTTATGCCATCAAGTACTTTTTTGTAATCCAAAGGTAACCGTTATCCGTTGTCAATATTAATATAATTTACGATCTCGAAGACTAGAAATATGGATAAAACGTATATACCATTCAGCTTAGCAAATAACAATAACTGATATTAGTCTAGTCATGTATAAACTAATTTAATGTAATAAACGCAGGGAATACTAATTTTAATTTCTAATAAGTTACATATTTTAAGACAAACCAATTTAGTTATGAATATACCAATATAGTTCATGAAAGTTAGATTCTTAGGCCGTATGTAAAACAAATTTTTTTTGTTTATGTAGATATTTTATATTACTATTGCGGCCAATGGTCGAAATGGCTTAAGATAAATGGAGAGATGCCTTATAATTCAGATTTCCTGATATCATAACATTCTTCACACCTTGTGTACATATATTATTATTATTTTTTTTTTATAATTATAATTGTACAGATGAAAAGTTAAGAAAAATGCATTTCTGAAATGAGTACCTTTTAGCTCATATAAAGTTCACTATTTTTTACTAGACGAATGTTAATGGTTTCTATTTTTTATTTGATAATCATTTATATTTAGAATCATATGTGTTATATATATATATATATATATATATATATATATATATATATATCAATAAAAAGAACAAAAATTGTTATATCTATTTGTTTTGTAAATACATTTATAAATTATGTATTAATTATATTAATCTTATTTTGTAAGAGTATAAACTAAATATTTAAAACCTACTCTAAAATTTTTAGAAAAATTAATTTTTCAACCGGTGAGATTTTAATATTTTTTTTTTTCCTAAACTCTAGTCACAGCTCGTGAAATACAAATAATATTTGTAATAATAGCTAATATCTAACAAATATTTTATTAAAAATGTTCTATATACAAAGAGAAGCTTATTAATAATTAATTAATTTTCCAACTTAATTTCTACTCATTAAAAAAACAATCGGACAGCAAGCCGTTCTTTTTCCATAAGGCTATTCTTTCACGAATTTCGAAAATTGACTTTGGTTTTTGGTCGATTTTCAACTTTTTTTTTCAAACTCGTAAATGAATGCAAACGCGTTCGCTACCGATTTTTGGTAACTTTCCAACCACCTGCGAGCCTTATCAGAGGACTTATCTTATAAATAATATTCTATACTTATATTAAATATATACAATTTAACATATTAACTTTTTACAACTATAGTCATTATTATACTATTATTATATTACTTTGATAGGAATAAATTTAAATAACTACTACTATACTAATCTACTACCCTTTTGTCTTGACAGTGGTACACACAAAAAAAAAAACAGAGTTACGTCGAAAAGTGCGATCTAAATGTATATACTATTAAAAAAATTATAGGTCGAAACTGCATAATATTTGCGAGTTAAATCCTTATGCTAAAAAGTGTCCAGTTTTCATGAAATATTAGATGTAGATTAAAATAGCACTCTATTTTAAAACGAAATAAAAATGAGATTATATAGAAAATGTATATTATTATTAACTTTCTTATAACCATGATTATAAATATTTCAAATTAATTCTCGTCAGGCCAGTCGCTAGGGCACCAAGCAAATCATGCGTTCCTATAGGGCTGTATAAAATTTTAATGAAATTAAAGTGGCAAAATTATATAAATATCGACAACAGATGACAATAATTAGAGTAATGCGTCTCTATTATTATCGTACAACCAGTAGCTCGTTGTGACTACGAATAATTGCAGCATATTAAAATTTCGATTTGTAATGTCTTTTAAAAAAGATCGACAGTACAAGTTTTGCTTTAAGGAGGGAAATATTTATTGACGGGCCTGATTATTGAGAGCTGTGTTACGTGTATTTTTTAATTTCAAACATCATGTAATATTTTAATATTTAAGTAAATTCAGTAATTTATATAAATTTGCAAAAATGTTGTTTAAATAATTACCGATGATATAAATAGTGAATATGTAACCATTGACATTTTAAAAAAAAGTACCATCTTGTGATATCACATTAAAAAGTGCTATTCTATTACAATAAACGGCGATATAAAATCAAAAATATTTTTCTCCTCAATAAATAATATAATAAATACAGCAATATTTCTGATTTCTGTGCAATAAACTGTGCGAATTTAGTCTTACTATAGCATTCTAAGGAAAAAAAAGGGCTTGAACTCAAAACCGGATTGGGTTTTTTTTGTCGCCAAAGGCTCTTGTAATTTGACACATTTTATTACGGTTGAAATAATAATTATTCGAACTCCTATCACTTCAATAAAACTTTTTGGTGATGAGGATAATAGGAATACGTTTGACAAAATATAAATCTTTTAAATATTGATTTTTCTTAAATCTATATAACTCTAATAATATAAGATATAATTTCTGTTTCTTGAACATCGCCGCTTGCGCTGCCTGCTTACTCTGTCTGTAGAACAATTCATCCTTGGTGATACCGAAGAAAAATTAGCCATGCCTTTGGTCATCGTACCTGAAAAAATGCGAATAAATGGCAAACGTTACAACAAAATATAATCGTTACTAATAATAATTGATACTTTGAGTTTGATATTATTATAAATGATACATGTTGAAATTATAAATAGTTTTTAATTTTTAAATTTATAATGCTATATTAAATTAATTATTCTCCAATGTTTATACAACAATTATAACTACAGTATTTTAAATTTTTATTTCACTATAATACCTATATTATACTAAAAAATTTTAATTTTGTTAATGCTTAATATTTTCAGAATTTAAATAAATTTATAAAAGTATCTTTTACCAATTATAGAAAAGCTATAGAACTTTTAAGTAGGCATGGCAATAATGAAATCCACTTATTATCAGCAGAAAAAGCTTTACTTTTCATTGAAAATTACAAGACAGGAAAATCGGTGGATATTGTTTTAAATAATAAAATTAAGTCTATCATTGAATTAAATAAAAAACGTCTAGTACCTTTAATAAAAATAATAGTATTCTGTGGTCAAAACAATTTGTCTCTCCGGGGACATCGTGATGATGGCGAGTTTCAATATGAATCAGCTGTAACAGGAGAGCTAGGAATTTTTCGCAGTCTTTTGGCATTCAGGTTAGACTCTGGTGATGAAATATTACACAAGCATTTAAAGAATTGCAATAAAAATGTTACTATAATAAGTAAAATTACTCAGAATGAAATCATTGAAGTTCTTCGTGATGTTATTGTAGAAGATATAGTACGAGAATTAAATAATTCAAAATATTTTGCAATATTATGTGATGAAACCACCGACATCAGCACAAAAGAGCAAATTACTTTTTCTGTTAGGTAACATATTAAATGTTTTTTTAGAAAATATTTTCATATGAATTTATATTTCTAAAATATTTTTTAGATATATTGACATGAACAAATTTGTGATTAAAGAGGAGTTTTTTGGATTTACTGAATTACTTTCCAACACCAGTCTAATCATTAAAGATGTTATATTAAAACAAATAGATGCATTTGTATTGAATATGACCAACCTTTGGGGACAAGGATATGATGGTGGATCTAACATGTCAGGTATGTTATTATTAGGTACAAATGCAAGAATGCAACTAAAAAAATAAAAACTAAAACTGTAGAGTAAAATTTTAAATTTTGAGTCCCAAAATAAAAATAAATACTTTCAAGGTATAAAAATAATATTTTTTTAACCATTTAATGAATTTTTTAGGGATAAATAATGAAGTTCAAGCGTTAATTCTAAATGAACATCCGCTTGCTCTGTATACTCATTGTTTTAACCATGTATTAAATTTGGCAATTTCTAAAGCATGTAATATACCAGCCATTAGGAATATATTTGGAATTGTTGGTTCTGTGTCAGTTTTCTTATCGGCATCGGCAAAACGTAATAATATATTGCTAAATGCAATTTATAATGATAATAACGAACCACTTCCAAAAAAAAAAAACGAAACTACGAGCTCTATGTGTAACACGTTGGGTAGATCGCCATGACCCCATCATTACATTCCATGAACTTTATAAATTTATTTTAATTTCATTAGAAGAATTAGAAAAAGATACAAACCGAGAAATATCTGCTAAAGCTTCAAGTTTCAATTCAAGTGTTAAACAAAGTGAATTTGTTGTAGCATTAGAAACCGTGACTAATTTGTTTGTATACACAAGGTCTTTAAGTATACAATTACAAATTTCTAAACAGAATCTATCTAGTGCAATGAAAAATTTCAAAAATATACTTAATGTGTTTGAAGACATTCGTAAAAATCCTGATATAACATTCATCACCTTATTTGAAATTACAGCTCAAAAATTACTAATATTTGATGAAGAATTAAAAGTTTCTCGACTTAGTGGTCATCAAACAAAAAGGAATAACATTAATGCCAATATCAACCAAAATCCTATGGAGTGGTTTAAAATAACAATTATTATACCATTTTTAGACCATATTATCCAAGAATTAAAATCAAGATTCACTGATAAATTTGTTAAAGTTATTCCACTCGAAGGTCTCATTCCAATTCACAAAGATTCATATAGCACCGAAGCTATATTACGAGTAAATGCTGCAATGTTCTATGACCAAGATTTACTTTCAAATTCAGATTTAGTATTAAAAGCAGAAATAAATCTTTGGAAAACTAAATGGAATAAAATAGAAACAAATATCCCTCATACTGCTGTTACATCACTCCCATACTGTGAAGAATATTTTCCAAACATCAAAATCCTTTTACAGTTATTTGCTACGCTTCCAGTATCAACATCAACTGCTGAAAGGTCACATTCTACCTTAAGGAGATTAAAAAATTATATGCGCTCTACAATGACTGAGTCTAGACTAAATGGTTTAGCTCTATTAAATATTCATAAAGATAAACATATAGATATTGACATAGTTACTAGAAAAAAGAAAAGAAAAATGCAATTAGAGGACTGGTCAGTATAATTGTAAAAGATTTAAATTATATCATATTATATTGTACTGTTATGTACCTAATTATTAAAAAATAATATATGTTAAATTGTTTATTATTTTTATATTGCTTAATTGTATTTAAGTATCAAATTATTAATTTCCCCCCCCCCCAAATTATATGTAATAAGTACTTTAAGACCATTATTATTAACAAAATAGCAACCACCATAAAAAAATCCTAGATTCGCCACTGGATATAGATACCTTCAGTAATATTGTAACGGTGATCTGCACGATGACTAGCAATAAAAAAAAAAAAAATTCTAAGCGATCATTCGGTTACACAAAGTCATTAGAACGTTTGCGACCGCGGATTAAAGACAAATCGTCGCCAGTTGCGACAATCAGCGGAGAGAAGAGGTATAGGTCTAGGGCCATGCGATCCGGCAAAGTATCTTGTGCACTGCGATCAAACTTTTCGACGATCGGTTCGAAACGAAAAAAAATAGTAAAATATCGCAGAAAACTCGCGCTCACCTGTAGTAACCACTGCGTGATGGGGGCACCAATCAGTGTTAACAGCAACAGGACGTCGTTGTGGGCGCGTTTCGGCGACGCCGTTGCGCGTCTTCTTTCCGCGGACTCGCAATCTGACTAACGTAACGGCTCTTCCACAGTATCCTTCTCCAGGACAAAGTCTCGAACGCGCGTTCTCTTCTAACGATATGCTCGTTCTGCGAGAACAGTATGCACGAGAAAGTCGCTTGTCATTGAAACACCGGAAAGACCGATGCAACAGCGGTCCGTAAACCGGTTAGGGTGAAAGCCGGACGGACTTTCTCGCTTGATCCGTGGTACCGAAAAACTGCTCGTGCATCGGTTATCAACGAAAACAGCCGTTTTCCCGAAACCACGCGTATTCCGAAGTAAAATCGAAAGGCGGCGTAACAAACACACGTTTTTGTGAACCAATAACACGCCCTTTGCAATGATGTTTATTAATTGTTTGCACGTAACATAAATTCTCATGTTACGCCTACAGCGCTCCGATTCATTGGACAATTATCCATTTCGCTGGCTAAATAATATTCGTATTACTAAGATCACGGAACACGCGATCGCGTGGTTGCAGGTACACATCCGTCGATCGGCGCGCTAGAACATGTTCTAAATGGATGTAGGCTTGAATAATCAACAGCGCACGTACATGAGTAGAGTGGCGATACAATCGGGTGCGGATAAATGTCGGTATCGCGACGAAATAGAGAAAACAATAATTAGTGGTAGCGGTCACAATAATAACGACGACATAACACCGCGAATGATAAGATCGCGATTAGTTTTAAATCCAAGGCTGTTTACTGGTAATGTACATTATATACGGTATTGTACGTATTTTGAGTGCAACGATTAACGGTACTACTGGGAGTCAGAGCTATGGTCGATGGGAGAAAATTATAGGAGAGTGTCGAGAGTTGAGGGGAAAACTGGAACTGGATTTTTGGCAGCCGAGACAATAAATATGAGTGAAAAAGAAATAATTCAGAGGGAATCGACGGTCTTAGTAGAGGATAACCGAGATAAAATCGTTCTTGAACGGATATCGATCGAAACACATCTACACAGCAAGTTTGTAAAGTATATTGGATACATAAAACTAGTTTTTACTATTCATTATTCGAAGGACGTTTACTCGTGATTGTTGTAATATTTATTAGTTCCAAGAGTGAAACCCAACATTCGTTCAAGGCCGACAATTCGATATCGAAAATCGTTGTTCCTAGTTGGATGGCTTACAATAAAGACTGTTGGCTAGTACCCTAGAGTGACCAGACATCCCGTTTAAAATGGAATTGTCCCTTTTTTGATCATCAGATCCTGTTGTCCGGACAAATTTCAAATGGAATGCTTTTTATCCCGTTTTAATCTCGTTATTTCCATATTAGATAGCTGTTATTGTATAATTTTCCTAATTCTTGTTAAAATAATGTAAGAGTAATATGTAACAATACATTGTTTAATACTTTAATTATAATATTAAAAATTAAATTTTTCTAATTGTTTAATTAATAATAATAGTTTTGAAATTCTACATTGTCTTATTTGATGAATAATTAAGAGAAAATATTATTTAATAATAATTAAAAAAATATATTTTATTATTTAGGTTATTTTACTAAAAAAGGGTAAAGTAAAAAGAAAATAATTGTTTATGATATGACAGAGATTTGGACTTTAATTCTCGAGATTTGTGTGCTTATGTGTAATGTATATGGATAAGGCATTTTTTTTTTTTTTTTGAGGGGGAAGTAACAGGTGTCTGGTTTTTTTTATTTTTTCAATATGGCCACCCTATAGTACCCGTAAGACCAATGCAATTGCGCAAAGTTCTACGGTCAGAGTACACACTAAAAACATTAATTGTATTTATTAAAATATTAATTTTCAAATATTATATAAATATTATGGTTGTGTACATTCACACATAGGTATACATACCGTATTTCTGGAAAAACGCAATATTTTAAGAATTGATAATTATCTATTGAATAGAAACGAAAAAGCGTATTATTATTTATAGCTGATAACCTGATTTTCCAAACTAAATAAATAGATTTTTTATAAACAAATTATAGATTTTCATATATTAAAGTCGGGAACACGAAAAATAAGCGTTGGTACCCACGACCCGTTATTCGTATCAACTTTTGTAACCATTGGTTCTCAACTTTTAACCGTCACGCTGCCGTTACGTATCGTATTCACGGGCACGAATAATGAGCGATAACCACAGGTATATGTATATATAGTTGTTTTATATATCTGTGGCGATAACATAAACAATGAGCGTAGATTTGATAAACACTTTAGAAAAACAGCCGCTTGGCGCATGACGATCAGCGATCATTTTTCATGCTCCCGACAATAAATTAAATTTTTAAATTCTATTTAAATAAATATATTCTGATCATAGTAAACAATCTTCCAAGATTTTTGACATTTTCCAGGGGGGGGCATGTCCCTCTCTTGCCTCCCACCATATGGGTGCCCTTGTATGAGCGTAACTTCATGGAACAGCACCATTAACACGTTTACAGATAATGCGAGTTTACGATCACGAATTACAATACACGGTCTATAGAAATTATTTAATATATTATTTATTCAGACTTCTATGATCGTATTGAGCCGAGAAAAACATCGCGGAAGACATAATAAAACGAAAGAAAGAAATGCAAACACTATCGACACCTGGATCCTAATTACAATTATTATTATAGTTTTTTTTTTTTTGTTTTTTCATTTATTATAACTTAAAATGTTTCAACACACTGGATGTTATTGCAAGTATTTTGACAGTTTTAAATTGTATAAGTAACATATTTATAATATAAGTAATATTGATAATAATAATACTAAATAATTTATGTTTAGGTAAGATAATTGAGATTGTTATTGAGAATACAATTTGACGTTTTTGAATAGAGTTAATAAGGATATTTATTAATATAATTACAAAAGGAAAAGAGATAAGATTATGGAATACTGCTATTAGCTTTAGTGTGTTTAGGACTGTCGTGAGAAGGGAGATAAGTGGACCAATTAATGATTTAAGATTTAAAATAAATGTTGATATAGTGTCGGCGATATTATTCTCCATGTGTGAAATTGAATTTTTGTGGCTTCCGGATATTTGGTCTTGGACTGGGCGTTAGAATCAGAGCCCTTGGCTGGACGGACTCTTGGGACTATTTTTTTGAAAGTAGCTTTGTAAACTGGGCATCCTTTGAAATTTTCAGTGTGTTCCTTTGTGCAAAGAGCGCATTTGGGTGGACTATGACGGTCTTTGGAACACTCTTTCGTGGGGTGATTACTACCACACTTTACGCATTTAGGTTCGTGGCAGCAATTGTTTCGAGTGTGTCCGTAAAGTTGGCAATTTTGACATTGTGGTGGACGACGTATTTTCTTATGTGATTTCTCAATTGAAACTTTGGTATTGAGTAGAATATTGTTATCAAGAGCGTCTTTGTTATTGTCTTGTGTTAAAATACCCACAAAGAATAAAGGTAAAGGACATTTTTTTTTATTCTTAACATTGTATATGTGTTAAACTGAGTGTCCTTACTCAGCTAAGGCACTAGAAATGTCATTACTTAAGGTAGAAAAGTGTAGGTTTCTGATAACTATCCTGTATGAGCGAAGATGACGAGGGGGGGGGTATGAATGAAAGCTAGTATTTGTTTCATGTAAATGGTCAATGATTTTATTGAAATTTTCTCGATCTGCAGGTTGTATGATGATGTATAACGACGTTGACCTATAGGTAAAGACATTTGTGTCGATGATGTTGGTTGATACCTTATTGAAAGCGGAGTAGTTTTTTATGTTCTTAACATGGATAGGTGAAGCTGGAGGCCCCTTGTCTCGTTCAATGCGAGGGAAGTTCACAGGATCTTCCTTGAGGTTGATTAAGGGCGTAGTTGTTGCTACGTCATTGATATCATTAGTGGCAAGTAGGGCGAAACGGTTTGGTGTAACATAGACTTAAGTTTTTTCGTAATTTGGACTTGGCGAAATTGACGAAGATGGCAAATTTCGTTTTGTGGATTTTGGTGTACGTGACGAAGCGGGACCAGTTTTCTAAACGTTGTCCATCATAATGATATAAAATTGGAACTGTTAGTTAATATAATGACCATAATAAATTACTAATGAACGCGCACAGCAATAACGGAGCGAATACGGTACGATTCAGTGTACGTGTGTTCATGATGAACGCTATAGCCGAACTAGATTTACTATAGTTCGGGGACATTGTCTTAACGTTGGACAAGAGGCGAGAGCATGAACCGATCGCACTTGATTCCGGACCCGATGTTCGGTTGTTAATTGAAATCAATAGTGTATATTCAATCTTGCTCTGGGAGGGGGGGGGGTTAACAAAAATAATTGTTCTTTTTTTTTTTCGTTGCACAGATAAATAACTGCTACAAATAGATATTATTTTATACAACTTTTTACCAATTTACAATTTACTTTTATATTACAGAAAATTAATAGCTATTGGAATATAAAATAGCATAGTTAATAAAACTTTTCAAATACCTATCAATATAATTATTTAATTATTATAATATTTGTATAGTTTTATATTTTAAGTTTAAAGCGTAATAATGAAACTACGAATATATTACACGTCATCAATAATAAAACAATTTTTTTTTTTGTCCTGGGGAGGGTTTGGAACCCCCCCTCCCTCCCGTATGTACGCCACTGGTTGAAAAAATTACCATAATTTGGATTTCCAAACATTAATAACTATTGTTACAGCCGATTTGGATACTCGGATTTTTATACTGTTTGACGTCTTTGGCGGTGACGTTTCTGTGGATATAAGAAAGAATATATTATTTTCTCCCCGCTCGGCATTTATACCGAATGGAATTCAACGGTGTGGTATAATGAACGCGTTTGCAGGACATATTGGTGGACAATGACGTTGAAGAGCGTTGACGTGGATTTTGAGGTATAGGTGAATGACAAACAATTGCTTTTAAACGAAGTATTCAAATAATACTTTAAACAAATGTGTAAAAATTTCGTAGAAACATTTTGTTTAGCATAGAGGTGCGATAGACTTTTACCTAACTTCTAGTGGTTAGTAAATAAAGGTGCGCTACAAGGTTCGGTGGTGCAAATGTGTCGACATGATAAAATGCCAATGGTTCGCCACTAAAATGGTGGTTCAGAGTCAAGAAGTGTCGGAAACGGAGTGGGGTACGTCTGAGTGGGATGTAACGGCCCATAACCATAAGAATATCGTGTTTGTTTAGTATAAAAGGATTTTCGTACGTTTATTGATCTGTTTTACTTTGAGTAGCCACGGTATCTTAAGAATTAATTAATTAACATTTCCTTTTACATCTCATCTGAAACCATCTGCTGATTAATAGTAATAACGAAGTATTAACGGCTAATTAAGCAGGGTATCTACCGATTGACTCTGAAAACAAATTAAATTCAGTAATTTTCTGGTCTTTTTATTTTGATTGCATTAGGACATTCCATTTAACTACATAAAAGAATCACCATTTCATTGTCTGGTTTAATTGAGAAATTATATACTTTGAAGGTCGATTCCCACTGGTCCGGGCCGGGTCCGAACTTGGTTCGTTACACGTAATGCACGTCCAGGTTGACTCGCATCAGGCATTCACACTCGTCCGGGCCCTGTCCGAGTTAACAGTTTTGTTTTATTTACAATTTACAATTTTACTTCAGTCATCAGTCTCGATCGAATGAAAAACCACGTGGTTTGTTTGTGTGCATTTTTCTAATATCTTATTGCTGAATTAAATTTTTAATTTTAAAACTAATACCATTGATTATAAATACTAGTAGTTAGTATTTATAATCAATGCTAATACTCGAAGCAAATAAGTTTCAAGTAAATACTAAACTCATAATATTTTTCTGAATCCATAATTATAATTTAAAATATTTAAATTTAATTATGAACCAACAGCTTTTTCAAAATTTGTATGACATATAACGAATGGCGAATGAATGAAAAACACTAAACACGGACACGGCCCGGTTCATCATTCACATTTGTCACGACGTGTCCGGACCGGCGTCAACCTGTCCGGGCATCCGGATAGAGAATTGTTTAAAACAATTATTTTTTGACCAGGATCCCGCACGGATACCCGGCCTGGACTCGGTCCGGAAAAGTGTGAATTGTCAGAATAAAATCAATATGATAATATTTTTTTAAAACCTGGTTGGGCTCCGGCCCGGACCAGTGTGAATCGACCTTAAATGTACCCATGGAATCCAAATTTGGCTTATTTATATCCTCAGTACGCGTAATTTCGACCGGCTTTTCGATCTTTGACGTCATCAAATTAATATTGAGTAATAACTAGTTTTTGTTATAATATAGATAGATGTGTAGAGATACACAACCAAGAAATAAAAGCATTCGATGACGTGTTGGCACTAGTCTATTGACTTTTCGGTTTGATCATACCTGAACACAACAACCATACTAAATTAATTGCCTATATAATACTCCTAAATATGAACCTCTTATTATTATTATCTTATTTAGTGAACAACTTGTAATACAAATACAAAACCTTGTAAACAAACAAAGAATTTATCGGCCTCGATTAGTTAATTATGCAATATTGAAGATGGGAAACAAAATTTTCCAAAATGTTACAACACAATATTTATATTTATGGATCATCAGAGATTCTATTAGTAAAACATTTATAGTTTTTATAGTTAAAAATTAAAAATGTAGGTTATTGTACGCTATTTTGGATATTGAAAAAAATGTTGATTGTATCAATATAATTTTCTTACAAAAGCATTACAAAAAGGAAAAACGTTTACTATTCTTATGATTTAGTAAGTATGGAAATAGTTCTCCCAATGTCTTTAATTAGGTAATTTCAATGTTTTTGATTTGTAAAATATTACTGAACAATTAAAAATTGAATTCTTTATAATCAATCCAGTGCTCCTTATTATTATAAAAGAATCAATATTAAAAAGTGAATTCAATTGGTAAAAACATTTGTATAATTTCATTCTAGACTCTATGTTATTAATGAATGTTATAAAATGTTTCATAATAGTTTACAGGTGGATTATAGAATTTTAGCCTGTGGTTTGAAATCCATATTGATCCGGTCAATTTGTAAAGTTTGAGTTATTTTAAAAGCTTTTCTTGCAAATATTTGGTTATAAAAAAGGATTTTTTAATATACCTTCCTTAGATATTAGTTATTTAACCATTCATAGTAAATATTCTGATTGAATGTTCATGTAAAAGATAATAAACATTATTATAGAATGTTCTGAGTTTGACCAAAAACAATTCTTAGACCAAATTAATTCACAATGTCATTAAAATATTACCAACATGATTAATAATATCAATATTAAATATAACATTTAAAAATTTATACATAAGAATATATTTTACTCATGTTATTAATATTTGTCATATAAATATACTTTTATTGATACAAAATAGAAGTTTTTAAATTCAAAATTCAATATTAATATTGAAAACACAATACTTTGCAGAACATGCGTCAAATTCATATAAATAAAACATTTATATACTTACATAAGTTATTAAATTGATTAATACACCAGTAAAATGGATTTATACAAATAGAAAATACATTTAAGAATCTTGATTATAATATGAAAACTTAAAAAATTCTTGAATTGGAACATTAAATTGTTTTAATCATTGTTGTTTTTCATTCAATAAAAAATATATTTATGTTCTGAATATATTTTAAATTATTCCACTGACAAAAAATTAAGTTAAGATGTTTTAATGAAAACAAAAATAAATACTAATAGGAAGTTTTGTTTGTGTGTCAATTTTAATTCATTAAACAAACATAATAAATTTGGTTATATTATTACCAATTACCTACATTAAATATCTATATTCTATACAATTGAACACAAAAACTACTTTAATTATAAAATATAATAGAAACTAAAAGTAATGACTTAAATTTAAAATAACTGGCAAACTAAAGTTTTTCCATGAGCTGGGCAATATAATCCAGTACTCGTTCATCTCTTAAAATTGCCATGTGGTCTGCATTTGGAAATACTTGATGAAATACTTTTTGCTTTTGCATGTTTGTCCAGTGCATGCAGCCTAAGAGACTTCTGATGTTGACCGTGCCATCTCCATTACCATATTGAAGTTTTGGATATTTTAATGGAAATTTTCCCGGTCCAAATATCATTCTTGAATAGCAAAATTAATTAATAATATATATTTGAAAACCCTAATAGAAGATCAATAAATTAAAGAAATTACTTTTCTACTGTTGGAATTAAATCACCATGTAAACAATGGACTTCTACTCCAGGTGGTCCAAAATCCATAAACTGTTTAACATCTAGATACATATCATAGCCAGTCATGTAGTTTATACCTCTGTAATGAACAAATAAACAAAACATTTTTGTTGCTGCAAAAAAAAAATAATAATAAATAAATAAATAAATACTCACTCGAAGAAAGATTTATAATTTGCCACTGTAAAGTTTTGTGTTTCTGTTTGAACTAATACTTCATCGGGCTTCCAGAAATATGGAGATGGTAATAGCCATGCTAGACTTGGAGATGTAATTTGTTCAGCTTTTAGAACACTGCCACTAAGTACATAAACTCCTAAATCGTCACCTATATATGTAAAAATAAATAGTTAAAACATAGATTTTGTCTTTGTCTATTGGTTTTTTAAAATTATTTTTATTTTATTCTTTAGCATACCTACAGCAAAAACTTTTAATGCTTTTACAGCTCCACCCCAAGCGCCAGCTAATGAAACCATAGCTCTAACATATTGATCTTTCCATTTTTGTGTTTGGGCTCGCAGAAATTTAAGTGTCATACAACCTCCCATACTGTGTACAATAAACACAACTGGTGTGTTGTTATTTTGTGTATATGTTTCTTCAGTTAATAATTTTAGTTTGTCAAAGAATTCTTGATTTTCATCTGACAAAAATTAATTATTTATTAAGATGATAGAAATATAATTTTTAATTCTTACTGGGTGCTCTTCGGAAATCATAGGGAGCTCCTCGAATAGAAACATCTCGTTCCAGACCAGCGCTTACTAATGTATCACCAACATTCTTGAAGTAAGCACCAAACATTGATAAACTAGGATCAATGTACTCAACTGCTGAAGAATTTCCCCATCCAGGTATTCTAATATCTACACCTGGAGGACTTTGTGTGGTATGGGTAACATTATTATATACCAATCTCATATTATCTATCTAAATTGTTAATACATATTTGTAAGAGATATAAGAATTAAACAGCTCTGTACAATTGGATACTAACCAAACATTCTATTACATATGGCACTAATAGTTCCAGATTCAACCAAATGTTCTCATAATCATTTGTTTTTTTATCACATAGATAATGTACAACAGACGTCTTGTTCAATTTAGCATCAATACGACTACCTCCATCTCCAGGAACTGAAAATTATATATTATTTAAGAATAATTTAAATTAAATTTAAGATAAAATTCTTAATTTATCCAATTATAATTAAAATAAAATAATTACACTAAATGTAAATTTTAAACTATACAATAAAAATCGGATAAATCACAATTATTTAATAATCATTATTTCATGAAATTATTTTACCCTCTGTTCATAAAATAATCAATGATTATAACTTTAACTAAAGAAATAAGAAATTAAATGTATAATATCATAAATTATAAAAATATTTTTAGTGCACTATTTACATTTTATATATTTCAACATTCTCTGAAGAAAACTAATTATAGAATAAAATTATTTTTCCAACTGTTGAAATATATTATATTAAGAAAATAAATCTTCATTAAAATGAATCACTCGAATACAGTTTCATAAAGATAGTTTTGTGGGAATTATAAATAATATTATTTATTTTAAATTATGAATTTAACTATGTATTTACTATATTACTAACATAATATGTTTTATTATAAAATGTTGTACTAATAAGTACAGTGAGTTTGGTTTAATGTGATAACTAATTTATGAATATTTATATATGAACATTTATATCACTTTTATGACTTGATAAATGATTAAGTTATAAAATGAATAATATTTTTGAGTATATTTCAATGTGTTGTTTTATACAGTATCGTTTAGTTTATGATAATGTTGTACATTGCATTGGGTCATTTAGTTTGTTGTAATTAGTAGGAGTAAAAATTTACCTGGTATGTCAGATAAGATGAAAAATGAATCAATTTAAGAAATAAATTATTTTCCTTATCTATTCTGATAAGTTGGAAGTTTACAAAGAGAAACAGCAATAATGTTGAAAATTCCTTAGCTTATACAACATTTTATAAAAATTGTAAGTAAAATTGTTGAATTTGGAAAACAATATTTTCCAAAATTAAATTAAAAAATACTTAAGTTAAATTTAAGACCTAAGACTGTTTTATTATTTTAAATGTATTTTTTAAATTTTTGTATGCTTTTTTTTTTAATTTGTATGTTATTTTCATTTTATTTTAAGTATATTAGAAAAAAATGGTTTTGAAACATCCAGTTGATAGAATTACCAACACTAATGTAATCACATTAAACAGAACTCATAGTACAATATTTACTTTTCTATATTGATTGATTTAAACTATTAATTATCATTGTAAATATAATAAAATTGCTACTCGAATATTCCAAACAAAATTATTTCAGTAAAATTTGAAATATTTGGTTTATTTATACTATTAAACAGATATTATTAAAAATATTTTCATACCATATAAAGTTTTATCAATTACTAACATGGTCAAAAAGTGTTTACAGAGGCTGTAAATAAAAAACAAATTGATCTTATTTTTATGACAACTATTATTTATTATTATAAAAATTCATTATGGCATGTATATTTTAATGATTCCAAATAGTGATAAATCTAATCAACACTTTTTCACTGGCTATTGAAGTTTTAATCATGGCTCATTTATAATTTGTAATTTTCAATGAATATTATGCTTAGTTAAAATTAACTATTGATGAGAGCTTTTATTGTTAATATATTGTTTATATAGAAATAACCTTCAACCAAAATCATAATTCTTATTTAATACTTATGAAAAAAAAAATTAATTAATGCTTTATAAGATGATAAAAATATAGAATTTTATTGATGAATGAAAATCCAATTGTTTGAATTATAAGTGAACACAAATACTTTATAAATTTTCCATTATAAAAAGGATTAAATATATTTAATCCTACATAAAAAAATTTAGCTTTGTTTTTATTATAAAATGAATTATATTCATTTTACATTTTTATATTACTATTATTTTTATAGTTTGTAAATTAAAATTGTAAATTACACATTTCAGATTGAATCTAACACTCAAATTTCTTAACTTTTAAACATTACATTTGATGAGTATTACTTTTTTTTTAATTTGTAACTTAACCTTCTTCATATAAATATAAATAAGTGAACAATTACTTTTAATGCTCATCTGTGTGATTAGAAAGTTAAAATCAAAGAACGAAACCAATACCAAGTTGTTTTAATATGCCTCAATCAAACATCAATAATAAAAATGGCACAAAACTAACTTATACCTTGTGTATATTATCCAGGGCCGATTTTAGATACGATCAATACGTGTGACGGCACTGGGTTCTAAAATCAGAAGAGTGTGTAAAAGGCATTAAAAATTAGAAATAAATTTGTTCAAATGTTGGCGATGTAAATTATCTACTGTTAGTAGAAAGAATAATAATTTTCCCAATGCGATTTAATATAAATTAATATTATCATTATTATTTATTATTATATCAACATGCAAGTAGTGGCTGATTTTCTGTGTATGATTTATAGATACGTGGCAAGTATGGTAATTTGAAAAATTATTTTGAGCATTTTAGATTACGAATGGGCCTTTTCAGCTCTCCAAATTCTGTCTATTTAATGTTTTAATGTTTAGGTTGTTTAAGAGGGAGGGGCACTAAAATAAAGTATGCACCGAGCGCTGAAAAAGTTTAACCTGTCCCTGGATATCATCACACAAATCTCATAAATCTTTATCGGTACACACTCACTTAAGATGACGGGATACAAGGCAGTGATGGATGTTATGGTGATAGAGGTCAAGAGCCACGACACGACCAGATTCGTTGCAGTGTTTGACATTGTCGATATATCGGTCGTCAGTTGAGCAAGAGAATAGGTGGACCACAACTAGTTGTTCATGATCGAAGCATTGCCATGACGTTGGCTATATGACCACCAACAGGGTTGAGTAGCCGTTCACGACCAATACATTGCATCGACGTTGGTTATACGACCAACAAGGCTGACCGAGTAGTGCGAACGACTAGAGACGATCGACGGTCGATACGAATCACCACAGATGTACACTAATATGCGCTTTTTCACTCGGCGAACATACGAGCGCGCAATTCACGGCCGAGACACCTCTGTTCCGAACACTGTTATCGGTTAAACAAGACGACGTTATCACGGCAGCGGTGGTGGCGTGATAACGTGTTTGTTCGGACTTGATAAAACCGAAAATATGGTAAATAATTATAAACGATGATTAGCATGAAACGACGCTGACGCACGTGCGCGCCGTAGAAACGGGAAATGAGAATCAGTGGCGGCTGGTGATTTCAAACGATAAAATAAGTTTCATCCAGTGGCGAATTCAGGGAGGGCACAGGGGCACGTGCCCCTCCTGTCAAATGGGATCTAAAAAAAATGACGGGGAAAATTTTTATTGCTTTCATAAATGTTTTATTTGAATAATTTTTTTTTACGTACACTATAATTTAAATAATTTGAACTTGACGTTAGTAAATATCTTATAACTCTACGGTCTTTACTAATTACTTTTAATATCGTATTTTTCTATTGTCGGACTCCGGAACTCCCAGCATAGCAACACGCGTCGGACTGCCGGTGTTATCGCTTTTTTTCCGATTGTTATAATTTAAAAGCATTATTATTTCCCTAAAAATATACTAGTAATATCGTACATTTGTTCACGAACATCTAATAACATCTTAATAATCAATGTAAGTATTTATCTTATTTCAATTTTTAGAATCCGTAGGTACCTACCTATTGATAATATTGAATATTAATTTATATAATTTTGTGTATTTTTGTATTATATTAATAGTTACTTTTATATTAAAATATATTTAAGAATAATTTTATTAATGTAGGTAAAAGGTATACTATTATGTAGATATATTAAATAATAAATTTATATTAATCGTAATGAGGTTTTTACGTCGTCGGCGTCGGGTCCGAACCATTCAGCACGACGTAATGTAACCATGTGAATTTTTTCGCTTACTTTTAATAACCGTCGTACTTAATGAAAATAAAACATAACAGTTAATTTACCTAACCTAATTAAAAATTTAACGTTGAAGTATGTGTACACATTATTATCATCTATATCTGGATATTGTTTATAATATTAATAATTGCTTTAAAATCGGAATGTGGGTGTATGGTTATTTTTTAAAGTTGTAAATCGTATCCAACTTGACAGTAGCTTACATTAGATTATTAATTTTACAAAGTAGGAGTTGGTATCTACTAATATTTCTGATGATGGCTAGGTTATGACTGGTCATTCTAATTATGGAAAATAAAAAACAATACGTTGATTTTAAAACTATTTCATAAAATTGGTTGACGCGATTAAAAGTTTTTAAATTATTTATCATATATTGATAATGATTAGGGCGCGAATTTTTATGTAATTACATATATTTATTGAGTGTGAATTTCTCAATTCTAATTCAAAATAAGCACGTTTCATAACACCCTGAATAATATGAGATCTTCTTTTATTTTACATATTTTCACGTATTTTGATGTAAATACATATTTTTAAATATTTCACATTTTCATACCATTTCAATACAGTTTTTATTTAATTTACTATTATTATATTGGAATTAAATGAAAGAAAATATTTCAAATCTTGATTCAGATACTACAATCGCTATTACTTCTGCTATTATGTAAAATAATAACTTGCAAAATAATTTAGCATATATTTCCGAAATTTTTTTTTTCTTGGTTAAAATAATAAAATATTAGAAACATTGAATCTAACAATAATTGAAAGTTTCTCGATAGTGGAAAATGCAGAAATTCAATGAAATTAAGTTTAAGGAGAATCCGGATTTATAATAAAAATTAATTAAACTACGTACTGGGTAATACGTTGGTTTACAAAAAAATTAAAATTATTAGATATAATCTTATTAATATAAATGAAAATATGTCAAATTATATTGAAGTAACACCATTCGACATATGTGGTATGAAATATGCCCCATTAACCTCGATTGACGTTGGATGGATGCACCCTCAGCCGCTACGAGTTGACTTTTAAATCTAACCGCCGTAGATTAAAATTTGAAAATCTTTAAATGTACGTCTTATCCAACTGTTCCGAAGAAGACAACAATAAAGATGATTAAATTAATAATTAAAAATTAATGCAAAATACCGATTTTTTTTGTTAAATATTTTACATTTTTTAATACATATTTTAGCAAAAATAAGAACATAAATATTTACATATTTTGACTTTTTTATTACATAAAAATCCGTGCCATAATAATGATATAGAGAAAAAAAAAGTAGTAATACTCGATACAGTGGCGCAACTATGATTTTTTCAAGGAGGTGTCCGCCAGTGGTATAATATAATATTTACAGCTGTACAGTTTTTTTTTTAAATCTAATAGTTGAAGAATTTTGAATCACTACTATTTAATATTTATTGTATTATCTTATTTAAACCTACCGCTGTAATTATTTCTGTGTCTGGCATTCATTCGATAAACCGAAAATCATTGCCAAAATGTATTTTTAAATGTAAACCTCAAATAATTTTAGTAGTCACGTCAAATATAATTACGTTTTAGATATTTTTTGTTCGTATTACAATTTTACTTATTTGTTTTTTCTTCGAGTTAACTCTTCTTTTATATCATTGCAGTACCTAACTGCAATTTCACAGGGAACATTAATTGATGCTAATCCATTTAGTCTACACTCAGTGCCGTAAAAATCATAGGTGCAGGCAGTGGCGTATCCAGAATTTTTTTTTTTTTGGGGGGGGGGGGGTTATAAAAAAATGGAACATTAAATTTTTTTTGAATTTTGTGTGTATTTATTATAATCAATAAACAATATACATACACTAAACATTTTCGGGGGGGGGGGGTTATAACCCCCTAACCCCCCTTGGATACGCCACTGGGTGCAGGTGGTGCACAGCACTAGGACCCGCAGGGTCATGATTATTGTATTATTATCTAGTATTTAATTTTATATAACAAAATGTAAAAGTCTGGTTCGTTTTATTTGGAATTGTTTACCTACATATTGGGAAAACTACTAAGCCTGGAATGACATAAATACATTACTTTTATATTTTATTGTAAATCATATTTATAAAATCAATTATCATATATTAATATTATATATTTTATCTATCTTTGTAGTTTATTTTACGAGTATTTTTATTAATAAAATCTACCCAATACACAATTGTGATCTTGTATACCTACTAAGTTGAAGCTTTACACAGAATTGTTCCAGCGAGAAAATCATCTATCAGTTCTTTAAAATTCAGTACATCTACAAATACTATCCGATCTAAGGAGTAAAAAATTCCCATAGTATGAAATCAGTCCTACTTTTTTATGTATCTCAAGAAAGAGAGGCCCATGTGAATTTTTCTGCACTTGGGTCTTCGACACTCTAGTTACGGCACTGTCTACACTCTGATATTGAGTTTCTAAGGCAGTGTTTCCCAACTTTTTTGTAATGGCGACCCACAAATTTACTGCTAATTAATAACGTGACCCAACCCTCCCCCAAAACTAAAAAAAAAATTAAAATATGCAATAATATAGTATTATAAATAATTATAAATAGTACTGCCTGATGCAACTGGTCAACAGTCGCGACACATAAAAAATATATCGTGACCCAATTTTGGGTCGCGACCCATAGATTGGGAAACACTGTTTTAAGGTATGTTTTTAGTATTTTTAAAGTTTTCAAGTTTTCTAAAAAAAAAAATCAGTTATATTTTTATTACTTTGTTTACTCATTTTATTTGTTTTACGGCGACAATAGCATTCGAACAACTGAACTGGTGCAGGCCCTATTATTTGTATAATTTCGGACTGCACACTTGATTTTACGGCTTTAAATGAAAATTTAGTCTCACTACTGTCTTAGAAAAAGGAATATATTACATAGGTACATAATATATATATATATATTTTTTTTAAAAAACGAATATATACAATCTGTATAGACAATACAATAAGTAATAATAATAACAAAAATGTTCAGTGCTTGACGGCTTGAATGAAGGGGGCGTCCAGTAACGCTACTTCAACTTTTTTTTTTTAGTATTTTTTTATTTGTTTAGGAGGTCGCGTGGCCAATTATGCTTTAAGCGTCGGGGTGGATTATCGGGGATAGTTAGAGAAGAAAGATTAGATATAAGTGGATTTGAATGAGCTAATGTGTTGGCGTGAAATTTTTTATAGTGAGTGGAAGCAAAAGCAGAGAGATAGGAAATTTTGAGGTCGTTGTGAAGGGTGTTGTTGCTAACGTACCATGGAGCTACTATATATATATATATATATATATAAATTAAATTTTAAAAAATTCAATAATACTCATATTTTCTAGTAGTTGGCTTATTATTTAATTTTTATTTTGTAGACCGTAGTGCACACACATTAAAACCGTAGTGCACACTTGTACATTCGTGGTATACATTGTGCGATGGGGTGCACATAAAAATAGGACCTGAACTGGTGTGATAATAATATGTAGACACAGACAGTCAAAAAAATATATTATCCATCGTTTAACAACGATAAATCGAAAATATAAGCAATTAGTTATCTCCATTTGTGTGGCATTTCCAAGTGGAAGGTATATTGCCGATTTATTGGAAAAAATAAAAAAAAGATACACATTTATGATTATCATTATTATCTTAATAATATAATAGTTTACATGGTTATAATAATATGCTTATTTGAAAGATAATTGATGATATATTTCATAATTTGTTTTGTATACTACTCGTATATGAATAAAAATCATTATGTACATTCATGAGTTGGTACACAATAATTTACATTTAATTGCTATAATAGTATGACAATGTGTTTTAATAAACCTTATGAATGAAATATGATGGCAGTTGAACGTTATACATTTTAAAAAAAGTTCGATAGTCATCGAAAAAATTTCTATAAATTCAAGGGGGGTCTAGACACCCAAAACACCCCCCTTGTTTACGCCACTGACTCAAAGTATTCACCTAAACGTAAGCATTTTACACACCTTTCTTGCTTCCTTGAAACTTTAATATTATTTCTTATATTTTAAATGCATCTATCAAGGTTTTCTTGTGTGCTATAAACGAAAGTATCTATATAAGAGTATACGAATATCTACACTATATATATAGGATAGGATGTAGATTTACAGCCATGGTCAATATTATTCATTAAGTAATATTATCACGTACGTCGGAAAGGCGGTAGTATAAAAAGTTATGTATTATTGTGATACCTGCTAGGAGGTCAAATTATAACATTTTTTATTGTTAAGTATAGTTCATTAATTTTATGTCTTAGTTAATATTAAACTACGAATTAATTTGACTTGTCTCAAATGTGGTAGCTTTCTCGTTAATACAACTATACGACCCCACTGATTATACGTTTATACATATTTTACACGTACAACAATCGACCAATTGATGTACTTTTAGACAAACTAAGTTGAACTGTAAATTGTAGTTAAAAAACGTTGTTGAAAACTAATTTTTTTTATAATTTACTATTTCATAATATAATAAACGTGATGGAATTTTAGTTTCAAATTCTGAAACAGAATACTTTTATATATCTATTATACTTTTTATACCTATATATACATTAAATAAACAATTTACAATTATAATAGTAAAAAAAATTAAAATACTAATAAGTATTTTTATTATTTTTATTCAATATTCATTTATATTTAAGACATTGATGCACTGAGAACGACCGTTTGTCATTTACATTTGTTTATTGTACTTAAATATTCAGTTATTCAGACATTTCGATCATCTACCTATTTATTTATTTGTTCATAGATAAAACTATCTCATGGAATACTTGAATGATTTTTATATTTTTATCGTAAATTACAGATTTAGATATCATCATACTGATCACCAGGGCTCGGGACTTAAAGCACTTAAAATCATTAAAATAAGCGCTTAAATAAGCACTTAAAAACATCATTATAAACTCTCAAATAAGCATTTAAAAAACTTAAATTTAAGCAAAAAAATGTATTAAAAAAAGCAATAAAATAAAAAATAAAACTGTATCTTTATATTATAAAAAAAATTAGACTTCATTTTCAGGACTGAGGATTTTATGGATTTTCCAAGGGATTTTCTGAAAAATAAAATGTAAACAATATTTACAAATAGTTGAAAAAAAAATTAATTAAATCTTACCGTCATTATTGCATTGAATGATCAAATGTTTTCTGAGGTTTTCAAATACAAATGACCTCCTGTAATAATTGATGTGTGTTGTTATAATAAATTCTGGTTGTTCAGTAATTATCATAAGTCGTTTAGCTTTTGATGATGTATCAATATCTTCCCATTCACTTATTTCTTATTAACTTCTGATAAACTATCTACTATTACATCAAATAACTCGAGGAAAATAATTATTTAGTTATGTCGGTCTATCCATCTAGTTGACATAACAGTTTCAAACGGTAATGGGTTGATGAAGAACATACACGTTCTATTGATTCGAATAAAACATTATTTTTTTTGGAGTATTATAAAAAAATACAAACTTATGATGAGGGAAAAAACCGTTTTCGTACATGATAAATTGATATCATGGAATATTGATAGTCTAATAATCAATATGATGTTAAGTACACATTATTATATTGTTACGTACCATTTTTCAAATAAGAACACACCGTGTATGCATCGTTATCAGTCACGGAGGAACAGCACATTATTGTTCTATAATTGGTTACCATCGGTTGTCTAATCACTGAATGCAAGTACTTAACTTATGTACAAGCGATCAATAACAATAAGATATACTTTCCAAAAATAATTAATTATATATTATGTGTACCTAAATTAAATTTTCAATAATTAAACACATTGTTTTAAATTATAATATTTTATCATAGTAACTTTTAAGTAGTTATAAAATAATTGTTTATAATATAAACAAACAATGGTTTATAAAATTTAAAATAATATAAAATATTTATATTATAGCATATTTTATGAAATATTAAATCTATTAATTTGGGTCAATAAATCAATGAAATATGAAATCTACCATTTCTGTAAAATAAGACCCTAGGATATAGATTTAAAAAATGGTCTAAATGAGTTCCAGACCTCGGAAATCTACTATGAAAGTCGATATGACAATATAAATCTAATATCCCTTCCAAAAAAGGTTTTCGTTTACATACGTATAAACAAAAGATGAACATTTTGTTTGTAATTAGTTGTCCAGTATAGACCTGAATAATCCTTATATTTTTTAAAAATAAAAAAAATTAAATTAACTATCAGCCGTACGTGTGACTTATATTAGTAATTGATCTACGATAACCCGTAAGGTTCCATCTGTTCTTTGGTGGTGATCGGAAATTGACGGTCAGAGATTTTGCGATAGACCTAATAAAATATATTTAATTGATGCTTTGATTACAAGAGAAAATAAATACGAAATACGATTTGCATTTCATTATAAATGTTCAATGTTGTAAAATAAGTTCTAGTAAATATTGGAGAGGGGTATATATTCATTTCTCTGGAAAGTTGAAACGATTAATCGAGAATTCACGATCTGAATTTCGTATAATGTTAGAAGCCACTCAGGCACTCCTCATGTTCTAATAAAAGGGTTTCAGTCATATTATAATGGTTTTTGAATTTTAATATCATTCAGTCTTTGATGCATAAAAAAAAAAAAATGTTTACGTTGCATTGGGAAATATTTTTGTGATTGAGCAAAAGAAATAAAATTTATTTTACAAAAAAAATTTTTTTTTACATAAAACCGATTATATTTTATTTGAATTTCTTATGTTACTATTAAAATGTTTTCGGGAAATAATTGTAAACCAAATGAATAAACTTAAAAGAAAAATCTTAGATAAATTATCTATAATATTGAATTTAATCAAATATTTTCTGTCTAAATAATTAAAAGTTTTGTTTTAAATTTTACAAGTCCGATTATTATCAAATGTTTTTCACCAATTACTAATGCAATATACTTAAAAAAAATATACATAAATATATGAATGTATATTTAAATATATCTCAGTAATGTTAATTATATATTATACATACTTGCATACGTGAAGAAAAATATAAAATACACATCCATGTCATTCATGACATTTCCCTCGCTTACTTAATCGAACACAAATAATTATTTATTAAGTTCGAATATTACAGATTATTATTATTTAAGATTTTACAAGTCCAAATAATTATTAGTTATTTTGTTGATTTTAAATTTTACAAGATTATTAAACGGTTTTATAAGTCCAAATAGTATTAAATAGTAAATTTTCTTAATATTTTTTTTTCTTATATTTATATAAATATTATATTATATTATATTATATTATATTATATTATATTATATTATATTATATTTATATATTCTTATATTTTTATATTTTTTTTCTCAATTATTTTACAAGTCAGTATATTTTTTTCTCTCGGTAATTCACTAAGTCCGTATATTTTTTTTCTCGGTAATTCTACAAGTCCAAATAGTATTGAATATTATTATTAAATATTATATTTAATTA